GGGGTCAAGGGGGTGAAACACATAATTAACGGTTGCTTCTGACAATGAACGCGCAATACCGCATGCGCCTCCTAGATTCTGGTTGCTGAGTTTGGTAAAAAGATAGAAATATTCTCGGTGAATTGATTCTCGAACGAGATAGGCCTAACGAAAGCTCTCTAATGACTCAAGTTAGTCTGCATGACCGTTTATATTTTTAATAAAACCAATTTCTTCTAATTTTATTAACATTTTCCCCTGAATTCGTAATAATTCGTTATCACGTATACTTGTACTAAATTCGTGACAAATTTATGATCACGCGCATGTGTTTCTGCAAAAGGCGTATCATCCAAAATTACTTTAAAATGCGGGACCGTCCCGCACGATGCGAGACGGTTGGTAACTATGGATCATGTGACATGCCCGAGGTGAGAGGGTTTAGTCACGGAGAAGTTTCGTATCTTTCATGGCCAAAATTTTGCTCTGCACACTGGAATTGGCCAACAAAGTTATTTGAATAATTATTAATTTTGATCCGACGACCTCATCGTGGCGTCGTACGACGAGAGAATCCGATTGGGGAGAATTCACCTGCTTCCGCTACCGCCACTTCCCCTGGCCACAAAGATAGGATACAGTAGTTTTATTATAGCTAAACGGTGAATTCTCGCGATGAAACGCGTTACAACATTCACTTGACGTTAAGGTGTAGGAACGCAGTGTTTTGTTTTGGCCTACGACGACGTGTACGACGACGTACGTACATCATGTGTGGGGCCGGGTATCCGGTATCGTTGTTTTGATTGGTTGCAAGTTTAATGTAGGCTACCTTTTTGAGCAACGTGAGTTAAATTACATAGGCCAGGGCTATCTTCTTAACCGAGACTTAGTAATAGTAGTTGCCTGGCTTGGGCGCTATGGAATGGTGGTCCCATCCAAACCTAGCCTAGCCTAGGCCTTACCTACTAGTTACAAGCCTAGGCTAGCGATGCCTAGGCCCAGGAAAGTTAGGTGTGCTAGGCCTAGCTGCTATTCTGCGTAGGAGGAATAGCCTAGGCTAGACCCTAGACCTATTGGCATAGGCCCTATACTAGATCTAGCCTAGGCCTATTGTATTATCAAAGACCATTATATATCAAGAACACGCGCGATCGATTCCCCTATTATCTATTCCCCTATTATGGTACATGATACTATAAAGCCAAGCACAGACTGCATCGACGGTTGTTGGCCGATGCGTTTCCATGAAGAATGCAACACGACAAGTCGCTTGCAACAAATTGTTGTTAATGATGATCTGCTCAGACTGCTGTGTCTGGTAGACAATGGCAAACTCCGCCATCAAGCACTTGCAGAGCAGAGATAGATGGATTGTTCAGCAGACAGTTGTGCAATGTGTGTGCCTGTAATATACTGATAAAATAAAGATCACCTGCATTACTGTAGTGTTGGTTCTGGGTAGGCACAGCAAATGACTGTTTGGAGCCATGCTTTAAAAAAGTACTTTTGTGGTAAAAAAAAGAAACAAAACCACATCCTCTCATTCCTGAATATGACCCAATAAATGTCAAAACGTTGAATCATGGCCTCCCTTTCTTTATTCGGAGTAACGTTTGTTCTGTGTTACATTCTCTCCATATTTAGTCTTTTATACATTTCTGTTGATGGGAATTCTTGAGTATACAAAAAAAGGCTGCAACCCAGATTGTCGAAACCCAGTTAGTTTGTCGCAGACCAGATTGCTAAGTCCACTTTGCCAAAACCCAGTTTGCTGGGTTGTGTTGATTCGGCAAACTGGGTTTTGAAAAACTGGTAGGATACAATTACTGTAGGACCATTACTTCTTTTGTCAGGCCTAGCTATTTTTGAATACAAACAAAAATAAACCAACATTTTAATATGGTGATATTTTATTTAGGGCAAATAGAAAAAATTATTAGATTATCACTCCCGCCTGTGTCAAAAATTCGGGAAAAATTGATGCGGGAATAAAAAAAAATTTGTTTGCAGCATCAATTATTTCAACTGCATAAAAATAACAATGCAATTTTGTGACTTCAAACACATTTTCTTTAAGAAACTATAAAATTTAACCACTTTTTATACAATATTTACTATTACTAGCCAAATATAAACAGTCCTCCCTCATCGATAAAAACAGAAGCGAAATAATCTATTGTTCCGGTTAGATTTATAATCTAATAATTTTTTCTATGTGCCCTTACAGTATGTTTATTTTATGTCATGAAATACACAAAATATCACCATTGCCATTTAGATTTATATATTACTTGAAAACTGCTGACTTTGAACTAGAATTTGATGTTTATTTTTTTACATGTGAAGATTCATGCAGTTATTTACTATTCACTATTATCTTCTCTATTTCTTATATCTCTACAGGTGGAAGTAATGACAGCAAATTTGAAACTTTGATGTGAATTGGTCTCTGAGTTATAACTATAAATACCAAAGATGAGAAGGAGACAAAAACCATTTTGGCAGATTAACCTGAAGAGCCAATTAAAATGGCAGTTGATTCTACTTGTACCACCGGTCATAACTTTCATTGGTTTGATGCTGTACATCAGTAATTCATACATTTCCACCGACTGTGCATGTCCAAATTCAGCTTTGCTGCAAAATGAAGAACATAAACAAATGCTGAGTGCATTTCTTGTGGTGCTTATTATGACTGGCCCAAATTTTTTTGAAAACAGGCAAACGATTAGAGAAACGTGGTTTAGTAGTCACGCAGATGGTGTGCTTCTCAGATTTGTCATCGGAGCTGCCAACCTTCCTGATGACAAAATAGTGGCATTAACAACTGAAAATAATGAGCACCAAGACCTGCTACTTTTAACGAACCTTGAGGATTCCTATTATGCACTAACTTCTAAACTTATTTCTATGTATGAATGGTTAGATCGAAATGTTGAATATTCATACGTTTTGAAAGCTGATGACGATACGTTTGTCCAGTTGAACTTACTTTTAGAAGAACTGAAAGAAAAACCGCTTGAAGAGTTTTACTGGGGTTTCTTTGATGGGCGGGCCCATGTGCACTACGCAGGAAAATGGGCCGAAAAGGAATTTAAACTCTGTGATCGATACATACCGTATGCATTAGGAGGAGGATATGTGCTTTCCAAGGATCTTGTTAACTTTGTAGCGCGAAATTCAAAGAATTTGAAGAGATACAAAGCAGAAGATGTTGCGCTTGGATCGTGGATTGCCGCTATAAATGTCAACAGAGTTCATGACCCCAGATTTGACACGGAATATAAATCTAGAGGGTGTAGTAATGAGTACCTTGTCACACATAAACAAAGCCAAGAAGAAATGCGAAGTAAGCATTACAATCTTCAAACAACAGGAAAATTATGTCGAACTGAGGTACAAACTAGGATGTCTTATATTTACAACTGGGATGTTCTACCCTCTAAATGCTGTGAAAGGAAAGAGGGCATACCATGAACTTATTTTAACATATTATTACAAGGGTGCTATTTGTTTTAATAAATTTTTGTATTCATTTTTTTCCCCTTTTCATTAAAGCCACACTCTAGGTTGGCGGAAGTATTTAAATGTATTTTGTCTTTAATTGGATCTTTTTCAATTCCTATTCAGCAATAATATATCGAAAAATATATTTTATACAAGATAATTCATGCGCAAAATTAATATTTTAAGATAAATAACTAAAAAACAAGCTGTGTCATCACAAGGTTACAATGCAATCAATACCACACCCTAAAATTTATTAACTCTGATTTTTTGCAGTTTTTAAATTTATTTTATAAAGTATAATGTAAATGCACATTAAAAGATTTTATTACAGCTCAACTTTGTTGCACATTATTTCATTTTGTTGCTGTGATAGATATACAGTACTGGCAGATTCAAGCAAGG